TTTACTTGCTGCAGCGCACTTGAATTTTAATAGAAACTACTGCAGCAGCAGCAGCCAGGAAAAGTCCGAGATTGAAAGGGGGCAGGGAAAGGGGCAGGAGATTCGAGAAAATGTGTACGAGTATGTTGCCATTATGTCATAACTCATGGCTGCTGCGCCTGCAGGTATGCAACGCTCTGTTTTTTTTTTCGCCTGGCAAAGAGAAAGGGCCAAAAGAAGCGGCAAATAAAGAAGATCGAGTATGAGCCAATGAAGTACGTATATATAATGTATTAACCCTTTTTAAGTTTGTGTTTTTATAAGTATTTTCTCATACTGTAAAACAATTTTAAACTTAACAAATGATACCATATGGTCGCCTAACAATATATTTATAGTTACAATTTACAAATCTCTTTTCATTACTCCCTACTTTTATTTCGAATTAAATTAATTTGAAGGGAAAATAGACAGCATTGCTTTTGGGGTTAAAGGAGAGAAAATTATTTCAACAAGTTACAAATTTTGGGAGTACGTGACAGTTGGTTTTCGGTTTGGTTTCGGTCCAGCCCACATTGTTATGTTTGTCGCGTAGATCTGATCAATGACCTGCGAGGCGATGGCAATCCAGCCAGCAGCCATTAGATTTCAATAGGTTCTGGCTGGGAGCGCTCGATTTCGCCTCGCAATGCCGGAAATTGTGACAAATTGATTGAACTAAATGGTAAGAATATCAGGCATCAAATTGCCTGTGACAACGAGAGGGAACTCGGCCATTGGAATGGACTGAAAAGCGGGTGGCTTTCGTGGGTTCGTGGGTTTTGTGGATGGGTGAACATGTCTGCCTCGTGATTCCTCAGCTATCATCGATTTGCGGATAAAAAAAACAGAGAGACCCACGCACTTCGAGCTAGACAAGTTTCATATGTCAGTCTCAAGTGTCTTCGCCAGACGACAACAAAAACATCGAGCCGTTCTACAATAAGTCCTCCATTCTGCGTCCTTGTTTTTGTGCTCGATATTAAAGCAGGAATTCATATTAGAGCCAAAGGAACTCACAAATCAACACGCATCAAAAATAAGTCAATTCTTTAATTTATTATCTGTGCTAAATAACTTTATTTCATTAGAAACTATTTAATGTAAAAACAAATAAATGGTAATCTTTTATACTTATTTATGTGTTATTTATTTTATAGTGCGAATGCTAAATATATTTTTACTATTGATAAATTTTGCTATTAAAGGCCAACCCTTTCTCACTTTTTCTACTCAATCTTGGGTCTCTTTAGAACCTGCTGTTGACAATTATGGCCAACCTTTTGCTTTGCGACCAAACAAGTGCCAACGGCAAAGGCAAGAAAACTTTCCCTAACGAAGATTGATTTCACTTTTGGACAGTTTTGTCCACTCTCGAAATGCAGTTTTATTCACCAGCCATTAATCAAAGTACCAAATAGGTTTGTTTCTGTTGTAAGCATGCTGATTGATTGATTAATTGGTTTTCATTGCCAATGCAATTGGAGGTTAATAAATTAGTTTCGAATAACTTTTTGCCAGTCAAGTTGTAGGTACTCGGAATTGAATTGAAAAAAGGAAAAAATGGCTGACACTTTAGACAGGGAAATTAGGTGCAAATAAATAAATACTTTATAGAAGGACGCGAAAGTTTTTTGATTAATAACCAAAGCAATTGGCTGTTGTAGAATATAATGAATTAAAATAAAACTTTACAGGTAGGCCAATTGAAACACAATGAAATAGGAATCAAATGGACTACCTTGTCGAACTTTGGCCATAATTCAGTTGGCTAGAACCACAAACTGCTTTTCCTTTTTTTGGGATCTCCCCTTTTTTTTTACGATCTTTGCCTTTCCAGTTTTTTGGGTTTGCCTTGAGTGGATTTATTGTTTCGAGTGGCAAATACAAATACAAAATTGCAGCCATCACCCACATCAATTTTGGGCGCACGTTGTCGACTCCTGTCAGCCACAATATTCTTCTTGTTAACAATAGTAGTGAGGATTCGAGGTCTTGAGGATTCGGGCTACTGAATGTTGCCGAATGAATGGCCCTGGCTGGCACACTTTGTCACTTCAATTTCGATGGCCCGGGATGTTGGTTATTGTTGGTAATGTTCCTGCTGACACGGCCATATATGCGAATTGAGAACTCGAACTGTCCCAGTTGCTCCACATCCATCTCCATTTCATCTTCATCCCGGAGACAATGTGTTGCAAAGGCCTTTGTCTTTAACTTGGTCGCCTTCTTGTTCGGCTTCTGCCTCGTTGTTTTCTGTTTTTTTTCTGTGCTTTATTGTTATTCCATGATTTGACTCAGGACCAAGTTCTATGGACGACAGGCGGCTTTGTTTGCGGATTTCCAAGAGATTGCATTGGCTTTAAAGTTTGCGCCTAACTTGGGGGATTTGTATGGGTTCATTTTGGATTGCACTTGATGGCAGAGAAAGTCCTAAAAAACAGGGGATGTCTACTTAATTTTGGGGAATTTGATTTATTTATTATAAATTTAAATAAATATTTTTTATAAATTTTCTGTGATAAACAAATGTCTTAATTAAAGGTTTAAATGGCGTTTGGCGTGTAATTAAAATTCCCATCTGTGTTTCTGTATTCAGCTTTATTTTCTCTTTTCTTTTCGATTTTAGGTCACCATTTACCACAAGTCAAAGCCGTAAATTAAATATACATCTTTGAACTCTGTTACTCTATTTCTTTACTCACACTCTTAAGTTCATTTTGCATCGGAAAGTTTGCCAAGAAAGTAAAACATCTTAAAAATTTCATAATTTGTCTTGTCATTAAAGCAGCCTCTCCTATTTCCATTGCCAAGTGACTGAACTGACTGCAATGCAGCAGGAAGGCCATTTGTGTCACTCGTAAATTTCCAATGCCGGCAACAAGCCGCCAGCATTCGCATTCGCATTCACATTTTATACTTTATTTCCATTTCCTCAATTTTTTTCCATTTCCTCCGCTCTCAATTCCTGAATGTTGGCAAGTGGCAGTCATTGGCTTTCGCAGGGCCCTCCCGATTTTCGGATAGTGCTTAAAAATTTGCAGATTTACTGCGTTGCAGAAGGCGAGGAACTAGAGCTCCAGAAAACCGCACGCGCCGCAGAATTTACGAGAGTGCCGAAAACTTGACATTTTTCTGGCGCCACAGCTGAGGACAAAAGGCGCTGTCGTCATTTTCCCAGTGACTCCGCATAATGAGTAGTAATGCCTCTGGCTTGGAAATAACTTGTGACTCCCTCTTGCCACAAAATCACAGAAATCTCTTCTCCTATAAACTTTAAATTGAATTCCCTTCGATGGGAATTGCAACAATCAATTGAATTAAATGTGAATTTTTAGGGGAGTTTCCTCATATTTTTCTTTACCCCTTTTGCATTGAGCTCTCGAGTGACGAAATTGGCTTGAAAGCTGTTCCTTCTTGGCCATTTTCAATTAAACGCCCGCTCAAATTAAAGCCCATTTATGGAAATTTCTTATTAATTGAGCCAAGAAGCGAGCGGAGCATTGTGTTGATTTATGCGCCCAGTGCGCTCATAATTTAACAACCAAGGCCAAAAGGCCATAATAGTCTTCGCTGGGCTTTAAATGCGCCGATGAACTGAACTGAGCGCCACATTTTCCAACAGACGCTTAAATTATGCAAGTTAATTTGCAGCTGCCTGAAAATGATGACAAGAAATACCGCACACCCACTCGCAAACACACACATTCCCATACATACATATATACATGGAGCACAACAGGGCAGGAGTTCTTGCTCCTGGAACCTGGATCCTTGCTCCTGGCAGCCTAACAAGAGTTATTTCCCACAGACCGGAAGTGAAGTCGACATAAATTGTGGTCGGAACTAGTCGGCCCATCTGCACCCTCCAACCGGCAGCCACGTTGGCCATTTAATACATTGCGACAGCTATTCGGAAAGGGGGAAAAAGGAAAAGTGGAGGGAAAGGGGAGGGAGTGGGTGGAAAATGTCGGAGGTAACACACCACCTTCTTCCAGGTGGAGAAACTTGCAGGCAGAAGTTGGAATTAAAAGTCGGATTGACTGCTTGTTTATTGAATCTTATTTGATGACTTAAAGTAGTTCGAGTAACGGTAATGTTGGTTTAGTTAACTTCAAATAGTGTTAAAGTTAGTTAGTTTGAAAAAAGATTAACGAAGCTGATTCTTCTATTTCATTGTTTTTAAATATTAAAAGTTTTATAGTAATCTAAAATTCATATATGCGTTGAAACTTTTACTTAGTAAAGTGAATTGATTTTGTTCTTCACTATTCACCCAATTGCATTGCAAAATAAAAGGCTAAAATCTCCATAAAGAACGGAGTTTTCCTCGTTCTGGACTTTTGGTCGACTGTCAGAGGCAACTCTTTTCATGGGAAAACTGCCTAAGCACACAAAAACGGGGGGAAAGACCAACTTGTTGTCATGCTTTGTTATTTGTTTGCGGTCGTTTTCATTTCATTTACAGTTGCAGTTGAAGTGGCGGAATGGGGCCGCCATGAGGATCCCGGCTGCCTGATTTCCCCAGGTGCCACACACGGCGGCAACATGGCAACAGGACTCCACTTTCGCATGAGAGCCCGTATTTCGGATTTTCATATTTTTCCCTGACCATTCGGGTTTCTTGTGCCCTTCTCGGGAAACCTCATTTCCCACAGATAACACACATCATAACCAGAAGAGCGGGAAAAGTGTTGTTGGAGTAGGCTTATGAATAGGAAATGAGTGCCATTTTCCTGCGGTGTGTTTTTCACGTTTTCACGCTCACCTTCCAGATTGCAGTTAGGAATTTTTAGCTCTTGGTAGGCCAATACAAATGCAATACCATTACACTCATTCCTTTTTTTTATTTCTTAAAAATATATTACCAGATTTCATAGCTAAAGGGAATCAACTTTCCCATGGCATTACCAATTCTAAAGTGTTCTTTTTAAGATTTAAATAAAGCTTAAATGCATATTAAATGGTCCATTTAACGGCAATTCCAGAGTCCGTAGCCAATCTCAAGCCTATATTTTACCCATTTAGAAACTGTTTACAATTTTCTGCAATATTTACCAACACTTCTTTGAAATGCATTGATATTTTAGTACATTTAATTTTCCCCTTCGTCATTATAGTGGTATTCGTAGTCTGGTATTGGTGGCAACTCTGAATCCTGCTCATATTTCGGGAGTGGGAACTCAGTTGAATTGGGTTCCTCATCTTTTTCTTCATCGGTTGGGGCAAATAAGTCTCCGCCATCACAGTTCTTGACGGGTTCGTTCTTGTGGCAGAGGTACTGGTAGACTTTATTTGCACCCTTCGTGCAGTTGGAAGCTGCATTTCCCCCTGTGACCTCGTAGACGGGATTGAACTCATCCGTGGCGATGGTAACGCCACAGTTGTAAACGCACTTGAGCAGTTGGTGGACCAACGAGGGTCGGATAAATTCTATAATGGCACAGCCCAATCGGTTTGCCCGATCCCTCAGCACCTGGAAAAAGTGCTGAGAGTACTCACTGAAGGTAAAAGTTAAAAAATGGTTGAAGTAGTGTAAGTTTTGTTAACTCACATATCCTTTTTGTCCGAGTTGAGGTATAGCATCACCACATTTTCTTGATTCGTTGGATCTATCCAGTCAGCGAGTTGTTTTCGCAGCACATTTTTCTTTGTGGACATACAGTAGTACTTCTGCATATGGTAGCTGGCATCCGCATATTCATATTTCGGTGTTTTGACACAATCATCATCATCGTATGTCCTACATTGGCGCACCAAAGCATCGGCGACTTTGGCCAATTCCGGGTCCCATCGAAGCGTGGCCATTCTGGCTGCTCTGGGATAAGAATGAAGTCCGCCGGCAAACTTATTTCGATAATCATTGTGTGTGTCCACGATTATCTTGATTATATCCGGAGTCATTTTCACCATGGCGGTGGCTCGACTGGGACAAGTTGATTGGAATTTCTGGAAGAAAACTTATCTTAACTGATCATTAATTCAAAGTAATAAAATGTCTTACTTACCCCCTTGTCATTGCAGAGAATGTGTTGTCCTCTGCAAAGGTTCGGTTTGCACCATTTATTCGTAGCCCCGATCTCAAGATCAACCACAATGAGGAAAAACAAGGAAATCAACTTTCTCATGGCATTACCAATTCTAAAGTGTGTTCTTTGGGTTCTTTATAAGATTTAAATAAAGCTTAAATGCATATTTAATGGTTCATTTAACAGCAATTTCCGTAACAAATGTCAAGCTTAAATTTAACCATTTGAAACTGTTTACAATTTTCTGCAATATTTACTAGCACTTCTTTGATTCTCGAAAACTTAAGGTATCAAAAAGAATTTTATTACTTATTACAGATCTCATTTATCAATCATTGAAGTTGGGCAAGCTCAATCTAAAAATTCAAATCAACAACAAAAGAGCAAATTGATAGAGGAAGTGGCTTAAGTGGCTGTCTGATTTTACCATTTAGTCTTCAAGTGAGGAATTTAAAGAAGCAAATTCTTGTCTGGGACTCTCTAATTCTGTACTTAATTGTCTCGTGAACTTTTAACACTGCGCTCTTTATTTAAGCCTGCTGGAGTAGAATGCTCTGTTTAGTTGCCGTGAAATAATAAATCCAATAATACACACATTAGCCGCACCACATTTGCCGCTTAACGGCGGCTTAGCGAAAGAAAAGACAGATTCTGCAGTCTTTTCAGTTCTTCCCCCTTTTTTTCACCGACGAGTTTTCACTGTTCCATGAGCCACTCAACTAAAAGTCTAATCCACTTATTGGTAGTTGGTTCGAATTAGAAGAACCAACATGCAGCAAAAGGTTTTCGTATAAAAACTTGGCTGGGTTTAAAGCTCCACCAACTGGTCAATTCAAATAAAAAAAAAGTCCTGAAAAATTGGAGCACAAAATCACAGAGAGAGCCGCAGTCGCTTTTTGGCCAAATTATTACACACTGGCTTACAAAAAGGAACATAAAGGAATTCCCTTTGGTCGCTTTCACAGAGTTTTTCGAATTCGTTTGAGGACTTTTTTTGGGCAACAAAGAGTTGGCACCATGAAGGCAAATTAATTAAACTAATTGACTTTGAATGGTAACGAAGCGAATACGCGTTGTGACACACATAGAAGACCTGAAATAAAAACAAAGTTGAAAACGTACAAAAGTCGTCACATTCATTTTCCACGCCATATTCATTTTGAATGGCAAAAATGCATTAACAGTGCGCGTCCAAATGAAATGAGATATCAGAGATAAATCTTTATGGGATGTGAAAAAGCCAAGTAACTCTCATTGATGTTTGTACATTTTGTTTTAGCCGGGTTAATGAAATGGAATGATAATATTGCTGAAAGCATAACTAACTAAGAAATTAAAATTTGAAATTAAAGTTGCATATAAAAATTAATATTTACCATTTTCATTTATGCATTTTTGCACATTACACGTTTATTTTCAATGGCTGCAATCAAAACATAATATTTGCCATACAAATACCATGCCATACAAATTCCGACTCCCCGGAGATTTTACCTTCCAATTAGCTGCTGAAAATGGATGCACCGAATTGTCATATCGATTGCCGGATTCACATATTTGACGGCAGATGACTCATATCCCCAAGCTTCCTTTCCCAGGATTCCGCATTAATTACACGCCTTCCCCCCGCGAATCGCCTGTGGGGAAATCAGCAGCGCAAATTGTCGCAGGCAAAAAGTAATGAAAACCATGGGAGAAAGGAAACCGAAATTGAAATTGAATTTCGGCAGCCGTTGCCACAAAAATGCTTTTAATGCGAACCGAATGCGTTCAGGAATTCGCCTTGAGTGGCCAAATGAAAATGAGTCGTCGGCATGAGTACGAGTACTATATGTCATAATTAATGTTGATTGCCTGATTGAATGGTAGGCCGTGTGTGCGAACGACAATCCCAATTTCCATGGCCATCGAACCTCCACTTTGCCGCCAATATTGCGTTTCCGATTTAATATTAAGTCCTCGGAGTGTCAACTTGCTTTCCAGCCCATTTCAGGTGTCCTTGTTCAGGCGCATTGAAAGGACTCTCATCGGAACATATGGCGCATGGCCAAGAGTTGGAAAATTGTTTACTCACTGCATTTATATAAGAGTTTAATTTATAAGCTTTACTGCAAATTATAGTGATTTATGAACAATGAGTTCAAGTTTTAAATAGTTTGCTGGGTTGTCCACAAATAACTTCCAATTGTTATTAATTAGTTTGCTTACAATCCCAACAAAAAATGTTTTCTATTTCTGAAACGTTTTTATTTTTAAGTAAGTCTTCCACGCAATTTCCCAATACATTTTTTTTTTGGTTTTTGTGTTACTTTGTGAAAGAAATCCAAAGAGTTTATATTTACAAAAACCTTATATTTCTTTTATAAAAAACTGGTTTGATGCTTGATTGAAAGTTGTAGTCAAAAAATATCCTTTACAAAACTTTTCGTAACGAAACTTGCAACGGAAAAAATGTCTTTTCAAGTGCAAGTTCCCAAAGCGAATCTATGCATTTAAAATGTTGAAGGCGCGTTTGCAAAGAGAGCGTAAGGTAAACGAGCAAAGAACTTGATGGGCGACGTCTTTCACATGTTTGCGCCCAAGTTGTCTATCATTTCTTGTTGGCCACCTCGAAGGTCGCTGCTCCTCGGCGATGGGAAAAATGCCGAGAAAGATGGAAAAGCGATGCGATGTTTGTGGCACGTGTGAAAGATAAGGCTGCAGCATCATTATGCAGGAACAAAGGTCCTGGAAAACTAAATTGCGCCTTACGGAGCCCATTAAACACGGTGTGGGAAATGTTTGAGGTGTCAGTGCACCGGCACTATGTGCTAATTACTTATTTATATCGCTCAAATTACACGGCACAGCTATGGCAACCTGGCAACTCTGGCAGTGCAAACTCATTGCATACTTTGCGGCGGCCCAGCGGCAAAATGTACTTCAAGTGCAGGATTTTCAGACGGGATTTGAGTATGGTGGGTTGTACAGGTTAAAGTCGTTTTCTGTTTGTTTTTTTTTCCTCTGCTCTGCAGACAGCAATCAATCTGGTCGAGCTGCACTCGCATCCACCTCAGTGGATCAGACCCAATCAGTTCCCAATTGGCCGTGTAATGCGGCTCCTTTTATTTTTGATAGTTTGCCTCAAGTTTTTACCCTTTTTCGCTCGCTACGTGAGCATTTTACCCAAGTGGCTTTGAGTGTTTAAACAAATTTTACGGAAGAATTCGTGTGGTTGGAATACCTACCTATCTACCTACCTGGAATATTTACAAAGTTTTCTGCCTTTTAAGCATTTGCCATTGCGAATGGGGAGAGAGAAGCCCTTGTGATGTGATTTAATTCCGGAGAAGTGGGAACAGTGACAGCCAAGTGAAAAACAGTTTATCCACAATGAGGCTGAGAATTCTTTGACGCTCTTGGATAAACCAACTGTCTGTCTAGTTAAGCCCGACTTGCCACTTGCAAAACATTCAGGTGTGAAAATGCAGCCCCATTTTCCAACTTTTCCATGTTTTTCTCTGTTTCTGTCACTTTCAGTGTTTGGCATATCAGGTACCGCAGGCAAGTTTCGAGTTCGTTTTGTCAGTGAAAATAAAAAAGTATGAAAATGCACTTTACTCGTGCAACTGACAGCCGCCATTAAGCATTGTTGGTGAAATTATTTATAGGACTTTTTTAATGGTTAATTGCTCTTCAATAAGCATTCTATAGGGATACTTAAAAATCATATTTAAAACAAGAACGAGAGAGTATAGTAGTAGTAATAGAAATATTCAATTAATTAGGTAAGGACTAAAACTTTATCAATTATAGGAAACAAAAGGTACCTTTAACCCATTAAAACGTTTCTTTTGAAATAAAATCATATTTCAAGCGACCACATACAAATCAAACTAACGACAAGCCGTTTTCTACATTTACAAACCATTTCACCTTGGCTTGTCATTTGAAATATTTGCCCAGGTGTTGAATCTCCGTCCATCCATTTCGGTGTTTCTCGGCCCCCAGGAATTTCACTTTTACAAAAGGCACGGCGTAGACTCCGGTAATTCCAGCACCGACTGCAATGCATTCCCCGGAATTTCCGGAGGAGGCGGTTGCCATGTAAGGGCGCATTTTGCATAGTGGAAAATGCCCATGATGAAGCCGAGGAAACACCACTGGAGCAAGAACCAAGATCCAGGAAATTTATTGCTATCGCTGTCAAAGTGAAACACAAAACGACGTCATTAAGTTATGTCGGCGCTGGGGTTTTCGGCAAAAAATTGAGTCCAAAGTTGTGAAAAAAGCGGCTGTAGGTCTCGTATAGACTCCCATTTGTTTAAGTTCCGCTTCTAAGCTACAACTTTTTTTTGCTTAGATTTCCGTCACCTTTACAATTAATTGAAATGTTGAAAAATCTGACAAAGTAGGAGGTAAGAAAATCGAACATACTTAAATTCAGTTCTTTTAAGAATCTAATAACGAACGTTTAGAGATTTGCCACTTCAAAATCGGACTAAAATTGTCGAAGTTATGGGCTTTGGTTGGCTCGCTTGGGGTCACCTCCCTGCATTCTATCGGAAAGTTGAACAAATCTGACATGAAAAGGGGTCAAAATTTCTACCATCTGGAAACTGAAAATTTCGAATGAAGTTTGTTTCTGAATGCAATTACAAACGTTTAGAGGTATGCTACTTTAAAATCGGACTAAAATTGTCGAAGTTACCTTACTTGGGGTCACCCATCCGCATTTTAACGGAAAAATCTGACATGATCAGGAGTCAACATTTCGGCCTCGGGATACGAAAAATCCTGAATTCATTTTTTTTTCTGTATGCAATTACAAACGTTCAGAGGTATTCCACTATAAAATCCGACTAAAAGTGGACAAGCTATCCGGTCTGGAAAGCTGATTTGGGTCACCTTTTGCCGATGCACTTTAAAATTGGTTTAATCAGACAAAAGGAAAGTTTTTTATATTTTAGGCACTGTTTCCATTAAATTGCTGATTTGATCATTGCAAATTTGAATAGCCGAATAAATTTGCATGTTATGTGAAGAGACAAACTTTGAGTTGGAAACCGTGTCAGTTTCGAATTTGCAGACAATTAAAGTTGGCGAGCAGAAAGTCAAAAACGAAATCGATAGTTGCTCCGGGGAAGCTGATGTTCGGAATGGTTTAGTGGGTGGAAGTGGAAGTGCTACTCTTCTCTGTTTCGGATCCATTAAAAATGAAATTGTTAACAAAGAGCTGCCAGCCAGGTTCGCTATACTGTTTGTTCTTATCCCAGCTTCAGTTCTGGCCTCATTGTGTCAATGTGGCAAAAATGGGGAGTGTGCGGGTCGTGTTCTTGCAACATCTCCACATTTTCCATTCCGCCGTGGGCTGCTGCGGTCATTTCAAAAGTCAAATGTCGAGTGCAGTTCCATTGGGGTAAAGTTTTATGCCAATCAGCAAGCGGCAGGAAAAAATAATGAAAAAAAAAATAATGGTATTCTAAAAGCCCCAAAATTATTCGGTTTCCGCTTTTATATTTCCATGGGGACCGAATCGTTCCGCGTATCGTTGTGGAAATAATGAA